AAAAAAAAAAAAAAAAAAAAAAAAAAAAAAAAAAAACGAGAGAAAAATGGAAGAAACAAAAAGAGGCCGAAGCATCGACGGCTATATTTGTTGTTCTTTCAAGTATCAAACCCCAACTAAGCGAACTCTTCCTCACGAAGTGATTTTCGAAGAAGCCGAAACGGCGGATCAGAATGGGAAACCAGAAGCAGAAGTGGACGCAGGAGGAGGAAGAGGCACTTCTGGCTGGCGTACAGAAGCACGGTCCAGGGAAGTGGAAGAACATTCTCAAGGATCCTGAATTCGCTCCGTTTCTCACTCATCGCTCTAACATTGACCTCAAGGTCTCCATTTGACTACCTACACTTTCCAATCCCCTCTCTACGTGTTTCTTCGTGTTTGGTTTGACAGTTTGGATTGTTATTTAGGGTTTTAATCACGAACTCGAGGCGGAACTGAAATATTGCGCGAAATTTTTTGAACCTTAGGTTCGGTTTGTTTAGAATCCAATTTTATTGGCTCGGTTTACTTGCTAATAATGTAGCTAAACTTACTTGGTTGAATGGTTTAAGATGGAAGAAGTTGGGTTTGTTCTTAATGTTTCTAACTAATGCAAGTCTTTCCCCAGTGCTCTCCAATGGTCTTCTACGTTAGTTTTTGGACTAAATTTTAATTTATGGTTTGCCTGAAGTACTGGTTTTGATCAACTGAGCAATGTAAGAAGAAAACTCCTGAAAGTGGAATTAGAGAGAAGAAAGAGTTTGATTTGGTATTTAATGATTAAATATTATTTATATGATGGTGCGTTTTTGTGGATTGCTTCAATGGTAGCCGTGAACTTGATTGATCGACACTTTTTGCCGTATAGGGGTGATTCTGAGTTCATAGGATAAGGTTGGCTTGTGAGGGGAGATTCATGACGATGATCAGTAATTACCCTGAGTCCTAAAGTTATGTATGAATAGCACTATTCTAGTGTGCCCCAAGTAACTGATGTATGGCTCGCAAACCTAAGCGTGGCTCAATTGGGTTAGGCATCAACCCTTCGACCAAATGGCGAAGCCGTGAGTAACTACACATGTTGAATTGACAAAAAAAAAAAAAAAAAAAAAAAAAAAAAAAAAAAAAAAAAAAAAAAAAAAAAAAAAAAAAAAAAAAAAAAAA